TTGTTATAAGTACTTTAACATTAAGAATACTTAATGATTCTTTAAAAGGTTAAAGAGGGACAACTATACAGCAATTTCGCCCTAATTTTAAATCCTATTATTTATTTATCATCCTTTTTTTGATAAATTTTCAAAGTTTGACCGCAAATACATATAGCTTTAACATATATATTTTCGATTCTACACAGTCTGATTGTTTTAAGGGTTAGAGAGGTCCAACTATACAACCATTTAACCCTTATATTAAACCATGGTTTAAGTGCTAACCAACTAACTAAGTCTGCTAACTAACTAAGATTAGCGGGAGTGAGATGGATTGCATCTTCATTATCTAACATCTTCCTTTTATTTACTTTTTCTGTTTTAGTTTTTGAAGTCATTTTGGGATAATAATATGTATCTTTGTTTTATATATATAATTCTGATTCTAAGAATTAAAGAGGGACAACTATACACAGATTTCAACATAATTTTAAACTATGATTTAGTCATCATCCTATATTAGGTAAATTTTTAGAGTAAGTCTGCAAAAATATATTTTGTTTATATATATTTACGATTCAACTCAATGAAGTTCACTACATTTAATATTATTATACCCTTGCAGGAGTAATGGAAGTTCACATTAACAAATATATTTATAATTTATATTATATTAGGTGTGGATAGATTATTAATGATCGAATTGCAATCGACAAGGGTATAGCTTCCTTACTTGTTAACATAGTAATGGAATTTAGAATAGATTAATTTAAATAGGACCGTATAAGTTATAGAAAAATACTAAATTCTTAGAAATAATATCGAAAAAATATTATTAACTGAATTGTTAATTAATTTATTTCTCACTTTATTATTAATAACGCAAATGTGTTATTGGTTGTGTTTAATTTATTTATTATTATTAAGTTTATATTTACCATTTATTCATTTATTTTTATTCAGGCTATATTTAATGACTATTTTTTTATTCTTATTCAGTTTATATTTTAATATTTATCCTTTGTTTTAATCACAGTGCAGACACTGCTTGTTTTTGCTCTCTGCTGTTCTGCTTTCCTTGTTGCTTGTACACATTTGATTTCCACTGCTAAATGCCAGAGAAAATGTCAGGACAGGCTGAGTGCCCCCTAACCATACACAGATATCCGTACACCCACACACCCACACACCCCAATCCGAACACAACAAGTGCAATAATAATTTCAACATTGAAGTGAATTCTGAGTGGCAGTGCCAATGCGTGCGAAATCAGCTGGGAGGAGTTATCACACACACAGGATGGAGGGTGTGTTGCCAGCAGGACACACAGCATCATTTTCCCAATTCCCGTCCTATTTCCGCTTTCCTCTCCCCCCTCCATTTTCACCCATTTTCCATCTGTTTGCATAGCGAAATACATGTGCCAAAGCCAAATGAATGCGGTTCCGAATGCCATTGCAATATGACATTGCTGCAGCGTGTCGTAAGCTGAGGAGGACCGAGTCCCTTGGCAAGGGTCATGCATTTTAGTTTTATAAGCGATTTGGCCCCAAGCCCCCTCCATACCTCGTCCTGCGACTGTTTGTCGAAGCGTAAAACAAACAGAAATTGACATGAAAGCCATGCATGCTGCAGCAGGAAGGAGCGCTGAAAAACGACTGAAAAGGGGGTTACAAAAAGCTGGGTATACATGACAAGCAAAAAGGGCAGAAAGGCAGGAAGGCAGGCGGAGTCCAGGGGCGCCGAAAAGTAATCAAATGTTGCACAGACACATACTGTCCACATACAGACACACCCCCCAATTGCACCCTAATGCTTCCATATTGGCTTGCCCCTCTCATTTTTTTTCGTAACTATCAATGGAATTTTATAGACCAACAATTAACATGATGTCTGAAAGGGTTTTAAGTGTGACGGGGTAATTATTCGAAACATTAAGCAAAAAAGTGAAAGTCGCTCACAACAAAATAACAAAACTGTAGTTGAACTACTTAAGTTGATTAGCACTCTGACTAGACGTAATTCGAATTTTTTCTGAATTTGTTATTAAGTTCGGTTGTACTTAGAAGCCAATGGTTAAAATTGATTAACTTTCCTAGAATTGTTTTCTGGTCTGATTGTTACAATTTTGTGAACAGCTAAAGATCCTGCTAAGAACATTTCGTTTTCAAACGCATCAATTTAAGAGCTTAACAGGCACTTAACAGGAACTAGTTTGCGTTTACAAAACAATTATCTTTAATTTCTGTTTTAACTGGGATTACCATCCTTGGGTAACAGAGACTTAACGGGAACTCCTTCTCATTCAGAAAAATTAGTAAACAGTTTCAAAGAAAACCAAATTGCTTTTATAAAAAATATAACTGAGTTGAAATTTTTCAGTTAATAGAAACTTAACAGGTTATATTTCTCGTTAAGAAAATGTAGTTAACGGACGCTCAGAGAAACGATTTGCTTTTACGATTATGTTAACTGGGATTACCTTTTTTAGTTAACAGGAAGACTTTTTCGTTGAGAAAAATAAGATAATGATTTCATAGTAACCCAATTTGAAGAATATGTAACTGGGTTTGCCATATTTAATTACCAAGAACTTAACATAAACCTAACAGGGACCTGAAAGGGTTCTGGTTTAGAAAATTTAGTAAATCATAGTAAATCTGTAACCTTTTAAATATAGTTAAGTGGGTTTATTTTTTAGTTTATCAGGGACTGTTTCTATTTTCTATTCAGCTTAAGATTATGTTTTTTTGGGTGTTAATACAGACTATTTCTATTTATTTTTTCAGTTTAAATGGGTTTACCTTTAAAGTGGATTTTTTTTTTATCAGGGACTATTTATATTCTCTATTCAGTTCAAAAGTTTTTTTTGTGTGTTATAAATTTGTATTTGTTTTTTTATTAGGTTTAACTTTGTTTACCTTTTACCTCTGTCAGTTAGCTATCAGTAACATTAACAGAAAGTCCAAAAAAGAACCTCACACACTCATTTAAATGACCCACATTGCCACTTTTCCCAAATAAAAACGAACGAGGAAAAATAAAAAATAAATTGTGAAAAACAAGCTCATAAATTTACCAAACTTCAATGCTAATGAATTTTGCTAATATTCTATTCAATTGCACTTCGCAATATTGTATTCGCCATGAATCTCCATATTACGAACTGTCTGACAACTTAACGACTCCTTTGACAAACCGAATGTGTACTTATTTTTTATTGCTATAAAATATACTGAGGCCTGGGCAACCGCTAATCGGAAACTAAGCCATTCAATGGAGTTTCATATAATGCGAGTGGCCCATAAAGCAGCATGGTACGCACTGTACTTTCGGACGCACATACAGTTATGGCCGCAGGATGAAAAGGGAAAAATAAGGGGCAAGCGGCGGCAAAAAGTATAGCCTACTTATGGCGGCCGCACTCGAGGCAATAAACAATAAAAGAAAACTCTTAAAGCCCATAGCCAGAGCGCTTAAACTGCAATCGAAGCGCCATAGAGCAATGGAGCAATGCAGGAGTGCCAAGAGTGGTAAGTGGAAAATGCGGAATGGGGAAGTGGAGAAATCGAGAAATGGAAAATGCGAGGGACGATGGTCGGAATGAACATAGTCTTTGTCCCCTCAGGGCGCGCACTGGCATGTGCAACTATTAGAAAAAAATATAAAACTGTATGCTCTCTACGGCAAGTGTTTCCCTGCCCCCGCTGCTATCCTGCCTGCCTGTCCACGAGAAATTACATAGAAAATTAAATGGAACAGAGGCCCCGGGGGTCATCAGGACGCCGCCATATTCGTGTATACATATGAATGTATGTGTAAGCCCAGCAAGGAGCTTTTTGGGCTATGGCGACACAGCTAAACGCATTAGAAAATTCACAGTTTACATGTCAAGACGGCGACATGGTCAACAAATTGCTGATATCCAAATGACAGTCATACCAAAAGCAAAGTTTTAAGAACTATTATTTTCTCAGAAATAAGCTAAGACTAGGAAATGTATCGGGTTGAGTTAATAAACTCCAATTGAGACTCACCTAGTAGGGACAAAGGAAAACGATATATATCGATACTCAGCAGTTGGTTTTTAAATCAATATTTTTACATTTTGATATTTGATATATTTGATATATAAAAGACAAAGAAAAAAAAATCATTTTTAATAATATCTAAAATTGATACATGTGAAAATTTCTAAGCGATATGATTATTGTGTACAATAAATCGATATTCTCTTTGATATATCGCATTTTTCTGATAAAACCAAAGATACAAGTAAATAAAGAAGCATTATTTCAATATTTTTCGATAGTATTAAGATCTAAGACATTAAAAATAAGTACAAAAGCAGCAAACAAAGACTTTCGCACAATAATAATAATAAATAATACAATAAATGACCATTTTATCGATATAAAAATGAGAGCGATATTTTTATTCATTATTATATCATCGTTTGATATACATTCTTAATCTGGATTTGAAGACAAATCATAGATTCCTTATCAGAATTACAAATGAAGTTATCGTTTAGATTGACTTCCAAAACTCATCGACAAACTTCGATAACGATATCGATAATGATAGCTGAAGCCAGAGCTCTGACTCGGAAATTCTAGTTCACTCTTTCAAAAAATAGTAAAAATGTCCCATTAAATTCAATCTGCAAATACTAGATATTTCACTATGCTCTAAGGATACCACATATAGTGTGTGCATATGTACGCCTTGGCTAAGTAAAATGGAATTTGCTGTTCAAATCCCAGAAATAATGAATGGCCGCTTCCAAAGGATTGAGCATTGCCCCGGGAAGTGTAAAAAAAAAGGAAAAACTCTGTCCGTGATATATGATGGAGCTCACGTTGCCGACTGGAGCTGCCAAAAAGGCTTCAGGAGACCAAGGGACCAACTCGCAAATCATATCCTGGGGAGTTCAAGGCGGCCAAAGGCATGATTTGTGACTGAACATGTGTATATATGTGCAAATATGGATAAATATGCGTCTGATGACTACTCACAGTATGTGTCTGTTGTCAGGCGATCGATGGTGTCCTGCTTCAATTTCGAGTTCTTCTTGCCCATGGCGAAGGATGCTGATTCGGTGTTATCCTTGTGATAATGCCTCTGGTCCGGCTGGTGCTTATCCTTCGATGCCTTCGATTACCCAACGGAAGCGGTAACGTTGACAGGTAATTGGGAAAGCGTGTCTTATCCGGTTTTGGCCTCTGTTCGATCTGCAAGTACAAGTGGCATCAGATTAAAGATAGTCATTCCAAAAGCCGAGTGCCCGAAAACTGCATGCCGTCAAGGCGAATGCGAGGGCGTCACTCATCGAGGATGAGGAGGATTGCCTTTCCCAACATCCTATGCCTTGGTCAGGAGACGAACAGTCAGCCCTTGGGGGGCCCTGACGTTGCTGGGTACTTTGATATTTAAGCACGTCAACGCTGGCTCTTTTTGTGTGGGCCACCAAAGCCCCATTCCCCGGAAGCCACCCTGGGGAAGGTACCGCCCCCGAACATCGCCAAAAACAAGGCAAGGAACAACCGCAACGACAACAGCAGCCGCAGCACAATGAGAGTGGGTGTCCTTCAGGTCTTCTCCCCAGGACTTTCCCTAGGTCTCCCCCTCGATCCATCCATCAGGACGTCGTCATTCAACACAACTAAACTCTGAGCTGGGCTAGTTCTAAGCTGACTTTATCGGGAGTTTGAGCCAGCGAAATGTGATTTTGAGTGGAATATTTAGCTAAGAATTCCATTAGTTAAAGTTTAAACAAATCAGAATTTACTAGTTATATTTTATAAAATTTTTATGTTATTTTTAAGCCAGTTTGTAATGCTTTTCAGATTAAATTTAAGTAACAGTAACTTTTAATTAAGTTTGTAACTAAAGACCCCTATTATTTGCAGCTTTATTTTCCCATCTTATGGCATATCCTTTGGAAAGGATATCCAGCATTCGGTTTGAGGAAAACACGCCTAGATTTTGTTTGTTTTACCTGCTGCCTGTTTTTTTCGTGCTGTTTTTCGTACAACGACAATGGCAGAAACGGTGACGACAGAGCGATGTCTACAAGTTTTCTCCATAGAGTTGCGTAATTAAAATTTTAATAATTTTCCAGGCAAGTTTTCCATCCCCCTGCTCCCCCTCCTGTGAAGCCGCTACGGGGTAGAAACTTTTTTAATTCCCTGTTGCCACTTGACAAGCAAATTGCGTGAGACTTTAATTGACTTTGAATTGGCAATGGAGTGTATGTGTGTGTCTGCCGCAATAATAATTTATTGCCGCCACAACAGAGACCATAATTAGGCGCTGGCGTCCTTGAAGAAATCATCACAAATTAGACAGAAACTTGCATAACGCAATCGTAAAAGGAACCGCCTTTTCCCCTCATTTCATGTATCCAAACGCCTTTAGCCGCTTTTTACGAGATGCGGACAAATTTTGATGGCTTTGCGGAAGCTGGCACCGTCTTAGGCAACTTTTGATGGAATTTCCAGCTACAGATTCAGCTTCATCTCAAATCTTCCATCTCCGACTCCGTCACATCTACAATCCAGTCAACGTGTGGACAAGAATTCTCGACGGATGTGCCCCCGAAAGTTAACTGCTGACAGTGAGAGAAATGCGACGGGTATCCTGGGGAAAAGCGTTGGACAGAAAGGAAAATTAAACTGTCCCAAGTCCAGTGTCCGGAAGCCATATAAATTATTCAGCCACCGAGCCAGCACGACAATGCAGGACAATGAAGTTACAACTTTATGCGAACAAATTGATAAGTATATAAGAAAAGTACAAATAAAAAATAGTTGAAAAGTTACCGCTAATACTAGGGATATATTTCAACTTGACAATGGTTGACCTGCATTCCCAGGATATAAATAGTTCACCTCACAATAAGGAGCTGTAAAAGCTGATTTCTCCCCAATGCTCGGTTAGAGATCAGGCCGGGAGACAGTGACGAGAAATGGTAAGCAAATCCATTTGAAAAGGGCAAATGTTGTCAAGGTGATGTGACCAGCAAGGGGTCAGGGGTCAGGGGTCAGGGGTCACATTGAAGCTGATGATGCAACGGCTAAGAAGGAGGCTACCTCAACTGTCCCTGGTGTCTTTTCCTTTACCAGAACTTCTTACTTTTCCTCCTTCTTTTTCACCTTCCCTTGTCCGGACCCCTGCCCTTTTGGCTACCCCAGTCCTTGTAATTTTCCTGCCTCATTCCACACTGTCCTTTTTCAGCTCCTTGGAAAAATTGTTTGTGCCAACTGCTTTGGGCGTCTGTCTCGTCCTCGTCTTGTGTCCCACCAACTCAGTTGCAATGCTCCCATCCGCATCCGCATCCGCATCCGCATCTGGGTCCGTGTCCCTATCCATGTCCACGTCTGCGTCTGTCAGAGTAGGAAATTGAAAGGAAAAAGGAAAATTGAGCATACTTTAAAGCGCCTTCTGCTCCGACATGTCTCTAATACTCCTCCATTTCTGACACCCATTCCAACTTCACCTGTCGTGGGGCATTACGCGATTTCCGGTCAGCTCTAAATGCATTTACCTTCCGGCTATTTTCCCACTCCGAACCCAACTCTCATCGCAGAAAATTATATAAAATGGCCATCGGCGTTGCCATTGAATTGAATAATTGCCAAACGACTTGTAAACAAGTTTTGCAAAGACACAGCAACGGTGTCTTCTCGCCCAACGAGTTCTAATGCTAATTTGTTTGGTATTTTCGCCAGAAAGAAGGGAAACGAAACGGAGGTACTGGGACAGAGGCAGAACTTCGGGACAAAAGCGTTTCAGAATTTTGCGTAACTTTCGAGCTCACCAGGTCCTCCTGCCTCCTTTTCCTTGGCGTAACTTGGTTGCTTTAATTGCTTCGGTAGGGCAACCAAACTCGATCAAACTTGAGCTAAGTAAATTAGTCAATAGCCTGAATAGCCGGCCAGTAACCAAGTCAAACTTCTGAATGGAGCGGGTTCGAGAGACTGAGCACTGAAAGCGAACTGAACTGAATTTCGGAACCCATAAATTAGGAATACCCCAGTGAATACTCAATTTTCGACTCTGCACGAAACAAAGTTTCTTCGGCCTCGGTCTCGGTTCAAAATCATAATTTTCAGCAACCCCAGCGATAAGTTAGTTTAATAAATTGGAATATAAACAATGTCACAGGACGTCGTTGCCTCTCTGAGTTCATTATGAACAGAGTCCTTTAAAGCATTGACCACATTTTCAAAGATGGCTTCATTGGACTTTGGACCTCGTGTCTGTCTCGACACGTCTTGGTTTATTTCCCCTTTTAATGGAATTTTTAAGCAAACAATTATTCACGCCGGAGGACCGCCTCTCCTCTCTGTGTCTCGGAAACTAAGGAAACTAAGAAATTGCACTTTTGGGCAGCCAGCCAAAGTTTTCCGCGAAGGAAGTTGTATTTTGTCCTGGTAACGGGCTTAGTCTGAAACGTTTTTTTCGTAAGTGTCAGTTTTATTTCGGTTTACTTCAGTTCTTTAGGTTGTATCGTATTCATTTTTCACCTTCTATCGATTCTGTTTCTTTTATTTTATTCTTTCTTTTATATGAGTTCATTCTGTTGTTTCTGTTCATTATGTTTATTATGTTCATTTCATTAGTTGTGTTCATTCCGTTCATTTATGTTGTCGTTTCATTCATTCTGTTCTTTCTGTTCATTATGCTATTTTTGTTCATTCTTATATTTCTGTTCATTATGTTCATTCTGTTCTTTGTGTTTTTCCTGTTAATCCTTTCATTTCGATCTTTCTGTTCATTCATAAAATTAAATAAATACATTAAATATAATAAAAATAAGGTTTGTTGATTGATTTCTTAGCTGCTATCAGTTGAGGTCTTAATATTTCCTAAATGTTTTTTTGTTCAACCCTGTATGTCCTTGGCAACCCCATTTGTTACCTGAGTGCCTGATTACCAACCCACTCACCTGCCTCTGTTATCCTGCCCTTCCCTCTGCTTCTTTGTTTGCTTTTAGGTTCTAGGTAATTTTTACCCAAACTTGGTTTATTTACAGCAGATAAGCTGGCGACACCCCTATATCTCCATCCCTTGGGGCCTTGAAAGTTGGCCAGGATCTCATGTGTCTGGCTATTTACTTGGCCCGGTGAATTATGCAAATGCGAGTGGGAGAAAGCAGAGCTAGAAATTAGTAATAAAAGTTACTTTCGGGGCAAAAGGAGCGTAACGGGATAGGACACACACACGCTAATGCATACAAGCACACACACACAGATATAGAGGTAGGACCCACACACACACACGTGAGCGAAATTTACATAACCTCTTTCATTTTGATTTGATTATTTTCATTCAATTTCGTAAGCCACGCGAACGGGCGAAGGCTAAAGCCGCCAAGAGGTGGCAAGTGGGAACGGTGTGTTATGGATGGCTCATGGTGGGTGGGGAAGTGGGAAGGGGGTATCGGCAGGCGCAACAGCGACGAGACGTGGAAGAAGCATCCATTGGCCAGCAGAGAGCAAGGCGAAACCCGAAAAACAAATAGTATATATAATATATATCTGAGGTACATATGTATACTATAAAAATCAAGCAAATAGATGAGATGTGGGAAAGTTCTCAAGGCATATTTAATACGAAGATTTTATTACCCTTTAGATAGTTAACAGGCACATAACAAGAACTAATAATATATAAATACATATATAATAATAAATAAATAATAATAATAAGAAATAAGTAAATAATATTAATATAAAATAGTTTAAATCAAGTTAAATAAAATAAAGAAAACCTTGATTTTCATAATTATTTCTCTAGATATGACATTTCTCTACGTTATTGTAAAAGCAATAATATAATATAATATAATGATAATAATAAAAATGTCCATATTTATTTTTCTAGATATAATTTTTCTTATTTTAAAAGCAATACTTTACAGGGCAAGCCTAGATGCCTTACAATTTCGACTGCAATTTGTACTATGTTTTTCTTCACAGGGAATTTATATCTTTAAAGCCTTTATTTTGCATTTTTAGGCTTTGTTTTCACCTAGGTTTATCTAACAAAAAAAATATAACACTTAAGGCATAGTCTCTTCATGTTCAGATTCTACATTTGATTTAGTTTCTTTGATAATAAACTCTATTGTTTAATACAAAGATGCGTGACTTTAAGGAATTTATTTTTGTCTTTAAAGTTTTAAAATTATTTTTTTTTTAACTAGATTTCTTTCTAGCAATAATTT